CCATCGCCGCTTGCGGCTTTAATTTGTTTTGTATTTTTAATTATGTTCTGTCTGCCTCTATATCTCCCCTTTCTGATTTTTGGACTCAGTCAGGACTGCCTTTTTCTGTATTTTAAAGAAATAACAGCCCAGCTATAGTGCAATCATGTTTTTAAAAAATACTCGCTTTATAATATTAGATCTTACCTCAATTATCAGAGTGTAAATGTGGCCACATGAACCTGTTTGTTTGTTTGTTTGTTTGTTTGTTTGTTTTTCTTTAAATGAAAGAAATGTCCTCGATCACTCACCAAAAAGCGCGTTGGAGAATCCGTACCAGCGGCACCCGTAAGAGCCGGTCAGCCACCGGCCGCGCACGCTGGCGGCGAAGCTGATCGGAGTCCCGAAGATGCAGACGAGCATGTCGCTGACGCTGATGTTGATGAGGAGCAGGTTCACCGGAGTACGCAGGCCGGGGAACCGCGAGAACACCAGCAGTACCAGAAAGTTTCCGAGGAAACCCAGGACCAGGACGAAACCGAGGACGACGGCCGCCGCGGTGTGACCCGCCCGGCTCAGCGTGGCCTCAGACCCAGAGCTATGGCCGGTGCTGAGGTTGTTGCTATGCTGCAGGTGGGTCACCATGGCAACCGCGCTATGCCCATAGAACGACTTAAATCAAAGGCGGATGGTGTGTCCTCTTAGAGAATAAAGAGAAAAAGGAATAGTTTAAATGTTTAAAAAAAAAAGAAGCTTTTATTACAGGGATTTACACCTGTAGAGCACCAAAGCACCAGCACAGTTTTGTTAAGCCAGTGAGTCCAAATACAAAACCACAAGATGTTTAAATACTCCAGAGGAGTGGATGAAGGGGGTGGGAGGGATAACTCTGTGAGAAATTACCCCCATTGGGTTTACATAACAAACAGGAAACCTGTCACTCTTTATCACCTGTAACACTGTTTTAGCAGTGACAGAAGCACTTGTGCAAATACTGAAATTTTCAAACTCAAACAATCCAAACAAGGAAATACTCTGCAAAGAAATAAAAATATCTATATATTAATACTGTTTGAGTAGAATGAAAAGTAACAAACACTGTTAACAAACAATCTGTAAAATATAATAAAGAACAATCAGTCAAAGAGATTCCATTGTTAAGCACCAGTTTCTGAGCTATATATATATATATATATTTGTTTTTCTTGTTCTGTTCTCTATACTATAACAGATTGGGGACCTAAATAACTGAGCCAGCTTATCAATAATACAACCTTTGGCTGACTCATAAACACACTCAGCCATGAGCTGAGATGCTGAAGGCACAAGACTAATAAACAATCACAAGACATTGCTGTTTGTCCACTTACAAAAGAAAGAACCCCCCCTTAACTTACACCACCATTGTATTTAGATTCAAAGCCCCAATCAGAAACAACATTTGATCATTGCTACATCTCATGGATATTTAAGCATCACTGTACAGAATATGTGAGTGCAAAGTTAAACATTATTTTCAAATTGTTCTCCTCCAGGTCTCTGTCGTTGCCCACATGGGCGTTGAAGTCCCCCAGTAGAACAAAGGAGTCCTCAGTCCCCAGAACTATCGAGTATCTAGACTCCAAGAAGGCCAGGTACTCTGCACTGCCGTTGGACTCAGAGGCTGAGACAACAGTGAGAGACCTGTCCCCAACCCGAAGGCGTATGGACGCGACCCTCTCGTTCACTGGGGTGAACTCCAACACATGGCGACTGAGCTGGGGGGCAATGAGCAGGCCCACTCCAGCCCACCGCTTCTCCCTGCAGGCAACGCCAGAGAAATGGAGCATCCAGCCTCTCTCCTTAGAGCTCTTTTATAAAACAAACAAAAAAAACTTACCTGTATTTATTATTTTTTAGTTTTTACATTCAGCCCTTAAAAAGCCATTTTTAACTGGCCATTCAATAAATAGGTTGTAAAAGTAAAATCTGCAGTCAAATGTCATTTGTGTACGTCGCCACGGCTCCCCAGAGAACCTGCCCCCACTGCTGGAAAAAATCCTACAGGAAACACTGTATATTATTGTGTGCAAAAATTGTGTGCCTGATTTTAACACACAACCCTGGTCAGGACATTTAAACAGAAACAAGCAATTTATTTTCATTTTGTATGCATATATAAGATCATTTCTCACCCTTTAGAATGAAAATCTGTATAAATGTATTGATGTGCATTAAAGCATCTGTTTAACTGTGTCCTTTGTGCCAAAGGTTCAAACTTATTGACAATATGATCTGTACCATTAAACTGTATGAATTCATCTTTTTAGTTCATACCAAACTTACGGTCCCTTTGATATGTAATAGCAGTTATGTGAAAAGTTGGACAATGAACAGTCAGATTTAATGCCATTTCTAGAATTTTACTTGATGTTATTTTTACAAATTTCAGTAGTGTTCTGTGATGTGTGTCAATACTGATTGTTTCCCTTCTTGTAATCTCATTCATTGGGTCACATTGTGCTGAACTGCAAAACACAAAGAGAACGAATCAGAGCAAATTTAGAGTGAAGTGTTATTCATACTAAGTTGCACAATCTTCTACAATTCAGATCCAACAAAGTTTTGCTCTCATTTATCCTTTGCGATTCAGTGCCATTTAGTTTAGCGTTGCCAGCACACTAATGAAAATAACCTACACTGAAATGATAAGAAAGCTGTGATTTTAAAGAATAACCAGCTCATCAAGTGCACGTCTGGTTACGTAAACCAACATGATGAAAATAGGGTAGACAAAATCATAGCTTTATTTTTCTACTTTACAAAACAGCTCAAACTGTCCATATCCATCCTTGTCAACAGCGAGCCACAGTTCACCTGCAGGTAGGACTGTCCCGGTCAGTTGCCATGGCGACCTCGGACGTGTAAGTGTCTAACCCTCCTCGTCATCGCTCCCTGCCAGGCTGCTATCAGTAGAGTTCACTTCTTGTTCCTGTTGCCCTAATGAGGACTGCGGTTCTGTTTCGGGCTGCTGCTCGGGCTCTGTGGTGCTGGATGGCTCACTGGGTTCTGTGGCGCTGCTGCTCTCTGCTGGTTTGGCGGCAGCAGCGGTGTTGTTGTTGTTGTTGCTCTGCTGTCCTTTGTCACCTTCCAAGAAGGTGGACCAGCCCTTTAACCGCTCCTCTCGCTCACGTGTCGTCTCCTCCACCTGGATAAACAGGATCAACATGAAAGGTGAAAACTCTCTCCAAATACAGAATCTTAGTTAGTCTAGGAAAATAAAATTGTTTACAACTCAAGCAGATTGTTTCAAAGAATGATAACTGACAGGATCTAGTCACCTCTAGCTATAGTATGTGTGCATTGTTGTATTTCCATTCATTACCTTGGTGTCAACTGTGAGGTATGTCTCAGTAACATTAAATAGTTGTTTTTTGTTTGTTTTTTTTAAGTCAAAGTTTTGAAAAACACACCTTTCGTTATGATATATATTAGTTCAGCACTTAGAAAAATCTGGCCTGACTAGGACTGTCTGGATGATTTATTCTAATCTGACTGACAGGGATAAAACAATCCCACTAGTGTTTAACATTTAGATTCAGACTTTTGCTGACTGGTGAATCCAATCAGTTTCAAACTCTTCAAGGAGCACAGAACAGGACACAAATACAGAAATCTGTCATGCAAAATAATCAAAACTCCAGTAATATAAATGATGCGACCACATAGGACCTATTAACACCTCTGAAACCCAGCAATTTTAAGGGCATTTCTTTTTTTTGTCATATTTTTTGACTGTGGGTTAATTTTCCAACATTTTTCCAAGTAATATCAGTAAGAAATATCAGCTTCACATACTATAGTCATTTTGATAGTTATATTTTTAATTTCTCTGCATACTGCTCTGTTTAAACACAGCTTGCAGTTCTGCCGAAAAGTTCATGAATTTTGTTGCTGGACTGGACTGTTGGTTGCAACTGAGCCACCTGTGACTTCTCTATTGCACAGATGAGTGCAGAATTTGGGTTTTTTTGTTGTTTTTTAACAGAATCTTGATAATGCAAACATTTGATTTTTGTTATATTTTTAAACATCACAGGCAAAACAAACTGATTTTGATCGAACATCACAATTTTAAGCATACATTTGGTTATTTTTTCAGATGAAACCAAAAGCCACACACAAGTCCAAGGACTGTCAGAAAGTTGAACATCTGATGATTCTTTTTGTTTTCACAGTTTGCTCTCTGATAAATTGTGTAGTTTAGGCAATTTAAATAATGCCCCATGCCTTTCAAACCTGCCAGCAGATTTCGGGATTTGGACGGTCAAGACATACAAAGACACTATAACCCTGATGACTCTTCCCCAGACTTGTCAGGGTTGTTCTGGAGCCACAAAACAAATTATATAGCTGTTACAACAGGCTGAGTGTTACTCTGGAAGATTATTAAACTGATCCTGTGGTGTAAAATCTGTTGAGTTCTACACAGTACTTTGTTCTGTAAACACAGCCCCTCAACCCCCGAACTCTTCTTCTTCAACTTGTGGTCAGTATTGTGTTCCCTTTATTAGCCTAGCTGTGAATTTCTCCCAAAGTCCCATATTTAATTACCTGATAGTCTGTCGTTCCATCCCAAAGCTGAGCCGACAGCTGTCTTCCGCCAAACCAGCGACCGTTGAAGGACTGAATACATGCATCGGCTTGTTCAGGCTCCTTAAATGCGACTGATGCCACACCATCTGGGTGTCTCTGCAGCACAAATACAACCATTATGTGATGCCACTCACAAAATTCTAACCGTTTTACCAGAGCTTTGAAAAAGCACAGATTGAACTCACATCAAAGAGGATGACCTTCTTCACCTCCCCAAACTTCTCACACTCGGATCGCAGATCCTCACGATATTCATTCAGCACCAGAGGGTCTTCCTACAAGAGCCAATACAGAGAGCACAGAGGTTCATACCAACAATGGACTGTGTGCTTGAGAGCTTATACATGCGTTTGTGTTTCTCTCTGCACCTCAAAGTCGCTGGGATGGAACATGTTCCTGATGATGACAACTTTTTCATGTCTCTTTCTCACATCTCCTTGCTTCTCTGGCCTCCAGTCCAACTGTCTGCACAGACAAACAAAAAAAAACACTAACTTGTCGGTGCTTATTCCAGTGTGCAGACCGAGAAGTTGATAAAAACAACAAGAGATGGAGTTTACTTCTGTTGCTGTTGCAGCTTCTTCCTATAATCTTTGCTTTTCTTCTTCTTCTTGCTTGCATCATACTGGCCCTTCAGCTCAAACCGTGCTGCCTCCACATGAAGTCTGTATCCTCGGACCTCTGACTCGTCAATCAGACGCATCGCCAGTGCAACCGACTCCTTCTGCACGTATCACAAACACACATACTGCTACTTCACTGGAGTAATGCAATATTAATACAAGACAGAAGGCAAAGAAAAACTTGTTTTCACCAACTCAGAGTAAATACTGAAGAATATTTGTCTACTGGTACGACAAGAGGGTTCCAAATGACTGCTAATGTTGCTCCATGTCTTCTATCATAGATACAGAACACCAGTAACATCACCTTTAGCAGTCCATTTCTGCCCTTATCTGCTGCTCTTTGTGTAGCTTTAAAATGGACACAATTATATGATCTCTTGGAGAGTGAGAACATGTAAGTCTTTGTGTCTAACAGAGAAAAGTGTGTTTAGCTCTATTAAGCATATACCAATGTATGTTCTAATAGTTTTGTTGGCAGAATTGGGTGGATACTGAATTTTACATAATGTGAACCCTCATGGACACAGAAACTTGGAAATTCTAAATTTAATGTTAGAGTAAGCAGAAGGACAGACTAACCTTAAGGTAGCAGCAAAGGCCATCTCCCTTCAGGTTTCCCTCTTTGTCCTTGTAGAGTTTGACCTTGTACTCCTCTGTGATGGGATCCCGCATCACGATCCCACACTTGGACATCAACTCAGCAAACTCCTCAGTGCTGATGTCAGGAGGCAGGCCTGAGAAAAGGAGAGCAGGAGGGAAAAATAAGAGCGAGAGAATTAGATATGATACAGAGTCAGCTACTAAATGCACAGCTGTCCCCCTTAACAATGAGAAAAAATCTGAGATACTAACCTGACACGTAGACGTTTGTGTTTTTATTGTCATCAATATCAAACCATCCTACAAAAAGAAAGAAAAAGCAGTTATCAAAAGACGATTTTTATACAAAATCATACTTAGAAACTGTACTTTAATGCAAAAAGATATGTTGTAAGTAAAAGAATCCTATTTGTATATTAATTGCTGCCATGTTCTTGTCTCCTCTCTGGCTGGGGACGCCAGTTTACCTGGCTCTGCTTTCCTCTTCTCCCCTTTCTGCTTGGCTTCTTTGGCTGTTGTCTCACGCTGCTCTGATACTGGATTCGGGGTTAGATCTAATGGTTTCTCCTTTTCAGACAACTTGTTGTCTGAGTTGGGAGCTGCCGGGTCTTTGCTGCTCAGTGCAGCGTTGTTGGCATCAGGATCTCCTTCCTTAGTGAAGCCATAGTTGGCCTGATAGGCTGCGATGAAGTCCTCAGTTATCTAAAGTAACAAAGCAAACCTACTTAACATTAACACAAAAACCATCTCTGATCAATTTTGCCACACCTCATAAATGCTGCTATATTCAAAGTTAATGTTTTGCTTAAAAAAAACAAAAAAAAAACTAGAAAATTCATCACTAAATATACATATATCCATACATATATTTATCCACACTCTGTTAACCGTGTCTCCATACATGCAACATAACTGGCATCTCTGCACAGAAAGAGGGGCCTGTAATCCAGTATGGAATGTGGTCATGTGTTGGCAGTAATGAGTGAAACAGATATGATGGAGACACTGTGCAAAAGGCCAGCTCCTCTGCTAATAATAATGTAGTGTAGTGTCAACTGCAGTTTCAAACAGACACAAATTATTACTTTATAATGGCAACAAGCATTAACAAATGGGGATTCAAATGTAAACGAAACCTGCAAGGCTTATCACAGATGATGTGGTGATGCAGCTCATGACAAGAGATGACAATTAGGTGATACTTTGGGAGCCCTATTGCGCATGTTGAGCAGGATGAAGAATTGTATTTAATGTAATGTATATTGGGACAATGTTTAGTTCCTGTTGAGAGCAGCTTGGTTTGTTTATAGTCTCTGCATAGTGTAAAATAAACCCCCAAGTGGACTAAAGATCACTAACTCTGCTCATTTTTATCTTTCTTCTTCTCAAGTGTGTTGAATCATTTAGATTAATTTAGTGAAGGTGGTAGTGTGATGGAGAAGAACAAATATGATGCCAGACAAGAAAAGCCAAAAAGTAAAGACAGTTCATACTTTAGGAAACCAGGCCTTCTTTTCATGGTCCCAGTCATACACAGTCCCGTCCTCCGGATCAGTGTAGCTGTAGGGATCAGAGCCGTCTTCATTTCTCTGGCCGTAGAGTTCCTGCATCCGCAGTTGCTCCATAAACTCTTTGTTGGCTTCTGGTTTACCACTCATCTGCAACAACAGTGTGAAATGTCAGCTTACGCAGGTCAGCACATCGTTACATCTAAGCATGTGCAGTTGCATAATGTGGCAAGTTTTTCTCATTGAAGTAGACCTGATTCAACATCCTGCTTTGACATTTCCAGTTTAACATTTCACAACTTTGTTTGCAGTAGTCTTGCAGAGATTGATTATTTGGTGACTATTCGTGCATCAAAAGTCAAAAAAGAAAGCAAAGAAAGAATTTGTGGTGTAGCTGTGATTGTATTGTCCTCGTTACGCCAGTGCTGGAAATAAAACAAACCACGTTGCTGGAAAGTATTGCTTCATCGTAGCCTGGTTCTGACACATGACTGCCCAAAACAATAAAGAATTGCAAACAAGCCATTAACCAATTCAGTATATCTTGCTATGAACAGTCAGCGCCCAGTAACTCGTGTAAATTGTGCCAGCCAGCTGCTTTAATCCTTCATACGGATTATTGAGAAGTGACAGCTGGGATCAATGTTAGCTAGCTAGTTTGGTCATGTTAAAATCTGCTTCCCGTCTTCACATTGGTGTTATGAGTCAGTTCACACCGGGATAATTTACTAATTCACTTAAGGTGCATTGGAAGATCCGCTATCAGCACTAATAATAGGACAGTTACTGTTAGCCAACATGGCTAACGTTACCTTGCACAACGACAGTCCAGGCAAACTCTACTCTTGATGGAGCCAACGATAACGACACAGACTGTTTCAGTCACAGAATCAACGCCGCTTTTCTGTTTTGGGGGTATTTTAATATCTTTTTAACTTCTGAACGATCGTTATTTGCTGCCTGCTAACGTTACCCCGTCGACACTTGAAATGAAGTACTTCCGATGTCAGGTTCCTAATGCGCATGCGCAAAAAGTAGGACCGAGGCGCTTGATTTATATTCCAGCATCTACCTTTACACGGGTCTAACAGTCCATATATGTATATATACCAAAATGAACAATCACTCCGCCCGCAGGTTGTGAAGATTAACAAATCGACCGCACATCTTGTAGAAAAACAAGCGCCGACAGCTCAGCTAGCTAACGTTCAATGCAGCTAACAGGTAAATAAGAAAACATTCGTTTGGGGCTTGGCATGGCGGAGGGTAGCGGCAATGCAAACGTCGGTCCGGCTAATCTTCCTCCGGGAGACCCGCAGCTCATCGGTATGATTGTGGAGCATCTGAAGAACCGGGGACTGTTTGACGAGTTCCGTCGGGACTGTTTGGCCGACGTTGATACCAAGGTATTCGGCTAAAGCTGCCTCTGCTGCTCCTGTCAATTAACTTTAGCTAGCCGGACACAAAGCCGCTGTTCGTGTTAGTACATTTCTGGTTGGAACATTAGTTAAAAGTTAGCTTTGCCAAAGATTAATTAAGTCAATGTAAGTCATTTAAGCAACAGCAGTCTCCCCAAAGTGTTTTCTAATAGGAAAAAAAGAGTAAATAAAATATTAACAGTAAATTCCTCCAACAAAATATAGGAAATATAGATATAGTAAATGTGATGGGGAATTCCCCACGGTATTATTATGTATGGAGAGTAATCTAACTTGTTTAAATATTAAGCATGAGACCATACAGTGTAATTAGTAATGGAGGCTATCCTGACTAATTTAGAACTAAAGTTAAGGCCCAACAAATACCTATATCAAAACTCAGTTAATCCAAGGATTCCCCTTAAATAGCCCGCAAGCAAGCTTTCTTTTAATCATTTCTAATTCTTTTACTCGTTGACACTTTATTGTATGCTATGTTATTTTCTATATATTATTTCTAGACAAGATATTACAATATACCTTCCATGCTTAGTACTCTGCACTTGTGTTTGCTGTTGCTGTGTCCTGACTGAGCTGCTGTTGTTACCTCCAGCCTGCCTATCAGAACCTGCGGCAGAAAGTAGACAACTATGTCACGTCGCACCTGAGCACACAGGACTGGAACCCGACTATCAACAAGAACCAGATGAGGAACGGACTGAGGCAAAGTGTCGTTCAGTAAGTGTCGTCCTTAACCGTCTTTGACATATTGCAGGTCTTGTGTGCACTGTAAAGGGAAAGCTTTGTCCACATTTCAGCCCCAATATTGGTCCAAAGCATCACAGAGAGCACGGACGACAGTTAACCTGCAACAGTCACAAAATGCCTGAGACTACAAATTAGAAGGTTAATGAATAAATGTAACCCTTTTTTTTCCTTTTTTTTTTTTGCAAACATTAACAGGAAATTTGTTGCTTCCAGTGGTGTGTAGTAAACTTTTCTTTTAGTTTTTTTTTTTTTAAAATACCTGCAGCGTCAAACAGCAGCAGGATCAACATGAGTGTCTCTAAAGTGAGAGAGCTGCACACATTCACACAAGCTGAGTCATGACCACTGAAGTCAGTTATGTAAAACCTATGGCTGTTTATGAATTCTATCTAAGAAATGTGCTCCAAACTGACGTTTTTTGTATAGTTCACAATTGAATGAATTCATAGCACAAATTTGCTATGATATATGAAAATGCAATCCATTCAGGGTGGCCCTTTTTGCTATTCAAGAGATTCTCTCGATGTTGTTGTAACAAAAGCACTATCGTCTGTATTTACTGCACCTGTCAGACTGTCACTGTCACAAGTTGTAGTTGTACTTTGCTTCCTATACTGTGTACTTGTGTGAAGGTGGGGTTTTTTGTTTGTGTAAAGTGTGTAAAAGTGTTATTGTTGTCCAGATGACTGAAACTGGTCGACTGCAGCCATATTATAATAAGAGTCACTGATATCTCATTGACTGGTCACATAAAATGTGGCTTTAAAAAGTTAAAGGATGACTATCTTTAAATGGTTATTGAGTAAATAAGAATTTAAAGAAGATCTTCATCGCAGTTATTTTCACGAGCAGAAATGTTATCTTATTTGAGTTCTCGTCAAGTCACTTAGCATCATTTCTTTGGTTTGTGTTGAAGTATTATTCCCACGTCTTCCATCAAGTGTAGGTCATATTTGTTTTTTGTTTTTTTTTAGATCAGGCATGCTGGAGTCCGGTGTGGACAGGATCATAACTCAGGTCGTGGACCCTAAGATGAACCACACTTTCCGACCGCACATAGAGACCGCCATCCACGATTTCCTTTCAGGGGACAGAAAGGAGGAGAGCAGCTCCAGTTCTAATTCTGCACCACCTGAACAGACAGAATCGCAAGAGACTCCATCGGCTTCAGGCCCCAAAACCCCATGAGGTGTGTTTACAAACTGAAGTACAGTAAAATAAGGTCAAGAGCAGCTTAGAAATACAGTTCAGAAATCTGTATTTTCTCTCCTGCTACAGGGACACATACTGGCCTTTACTGGTCTACACATAACTATGTATGGCTGCGTGACGCCTTTTGAAAGGAGCAGCGTCAGACAAATGAAGATGAAGAAGAGGAGGTTGTTTATCCTGCTGCCTCTGGCTAATCATGGATCAGAGTCAGGAGTGCTTCATTGCTCGTCTGTGCTGCACAAGGCTGCTGCTGGAGAAGCTGTACAGTACTGAGCGATGCAGTGACGCTGCTCCGCGCAGCTCTGCCTTTAGGATGAACCTCGCACTTGTCTGGGTCATGAATTTTTTTGGTACTGGCTTTTTAAAATTTTTTTGTGTTATTATATTTTTGTACATTGTTGTGTATTGTGTAAAGCAGATCTGATCTTTCTCTGAGGCCATTTGTGTTTATAGACATTTTCCAACCATTGGCTGGTAATGTTTTAGGCTTTTAGTCTCCGTCTACACTAATTCAAATGATCGGTAACAAAGATTTTCCAGCTAAAAAGATGAGAGGAAGATGATTTTGCATTCACCATTTAACTTGAGAAGTCTCAAACTCAATTAATGAAAAACATGTTGGTAAATAATTTTTGTTTCTTACATACAGGTCTTAATTTTTCAGCACACCGTGCCATGTTTCCTTTTGGTGCATGTATTTAATGTGTGGTAATAATTGTGTGTCCTGTGTGCTTTGATTAAAAACTGGTGACATCATGTCCCTCTGTCTTTTGTTGTTCTTGCTTGTAGTTTCTGATCTTTCTTTAGTAAAGACAGTCTTATTGTAAAATACATATTCGTCTTTAAAGACGTTAGCAATGCAATCAATTCTCAGATAGCAGTAACTTTCGGTTTGCTACATGCATAGCCAATAACTGTTAAAAAGTACCACTAGGTGGTGTAGTTGTACTCACCTAAATATAGTAAAATCAGAATCCACCAGAAAGTATTACCTGTGTAACTGACAAAACGTAGCCCCTGTCCACACTATACCCAGTTTTCTGGCCTGTTTTATATGTTACGACCGGGCTCAAGACGGCCGCAACAAAAGAAGAGACACACCAAGTTTCAAAATTAAAGCTTATCTTTATTCCCTTAAATTATATCAAATTAAAAACCAAACCAATATGGGGTTGTGAGAATACATAGAGTCAGTGGTGTGTGTGCGTGATGTATGCATGAATTATGTCTGTGCAAGTGTTGTAAATGCAAATGACTGCAGTCAGCCCTTAAGTAACCCAGGAACACACTGGGTGTCACAGGTGCTCCTGATTATCCTAAACAGCCACTCACTGAACCAATAGCCGAACTCGAACCATCCACAAGATACAAGATGACCTCAGGGGTCATCACACCCCCCCTCCTTAAAAAAGGGGTCCCAACGGGATCACCAAACGATCCTAAACCAGACAACCTACACACAAAGTTAAAGCAGTTAGCAACCATATTCACTGAATAAGTCAAATGTTTACTGACAACCTGATAAGCGCATACTCAAAACAGTCAAATCCAAATGTAGATTTTTAAGACCAACTCAAAATGGTCAAGTGCAACACATACAAAATCAAAGCTGTTACCAGCCAAATTCACTGTTTAAAGCAAATGTTTACTGACAAGTCGATAAGCGCATATTCCAAACAGTCAAACAAATGTAGATTTCCAAGACCAATGCAAATGGTCAACCACAAACTGCATTGCTAACAACTTTCTGTTCCTCAAACGTCAGCCCAGCTCTCTGCACAACCATTCTTACTACCACAACCAGGCAAGGCTCACTCTCCTCAAACACACCTGGCTCAAACAAAGACCACATAACCAAATCCCAAATGTCATCTATACTTTATTTTTCTCTCCAAGACTAAAATGATCAACTATTGGAAGTAATAATAATCTATCTTGCAGCCACAGAAACCATAATTTTAAATGTGCCATCACAGATAGTCGAGTGCTAACCAATAAACACACAAATGATGCTCTTCAGAGAGTTCCCCCCCTAACTGTCTGACCAAAAAGCTTACTAGAAACTCACTCCTAGTCTTCATGTGGTTCTGCGGTGGGTATATTAAGCACCAAACCAGCGAGTCTGTGAAGCCACCTGCAGCAGGCAACCCCACAAAACTACACGGAGTGCCCCCGAAATAGCTGTCCAAAGACAACCAAAGCTAACCGCTCCCCACAGCACTACCAAAACAAAAACCTGACACAACCCAAAGAGGATGTGTCCTTTAGCCTACTGGAGAAATCTCAGTAAGTACAGCATCAAGACAACAACACTCACCTTCTGGATGGCACCAAACAGTCAACGTTAAGTTACAAACAACACTGCTTCCAAGCAACACAAAGTGTGTCTCCCCCAAAAACCACTGCAGTCTTCCAAAGCACGCAGCAGAGTCAAAGCCAGCCCACAGCTGGACCAAATCCACTAATCAGTGGGCAATCAACAACATGTGCCCACTGCTACCGAAGATACAAGAGATAGACAAAATACCTGAA